CGTGGGTGATCATGATCCACAAGGCCAACAAGCAGGTGAGTGAATGGCACCACGTGAAGTACCTTCTATGGGACTCTGGCAGTGATGAGCACCTTTGCCAGCCATCATTTGGAGGAGATCAGCACACCGAAGAGTGCAGAGCTGAGCTGCTAGGGATCTCAAGAGCTTGGGCAAGCTTGGCAAGAAGCGTGTGAGCTACAAGATTGTGGGCGAGCGCCATCACGGAGTTCAAAGTGAGTGAGCAGGCAAGCAAAGATGTGCTGTCTGTGGGGAAGTTGAGCAAGAGCGGCTTTGTGGCCGACATGAGGAACAAGTTCAAACCCCACCTCATCCATCCAGACATCTCCTTCAGGATTCCACTCCACATCCACAGGAACTCCTATACCACATCAAGGTTGTGGATGACGAGGCCGTGCCCTATGACATGAAGGTCGATGCCACAGTGGCACCTGTGGTGAGTCAGGGTGACCAGTATGACTGGGAGTTTGCTGGAGTGGATGAAGATGAAGAAGGGATTGAGATGATCCCGCTACCTGAGGAGTTTGCTCGAGATGAAGCCCACGCTCGTGCTGATCGACATGGGTGGAGCAAGGTAGCAGATCTTCGTGCCAGGCTCAAAGAACTTGACGAGCCAATCTATGGAGACAAGCGCACAGCTCGAGACTACATGGAGAGGCACAGCGAGAGGCAACAGGCCTTGAGAGAAGGGAGAGTAGCTGAAGTCCAGGAACTGCCAAAGCCAGAAGTGCCCAGAGAAAAAGAGATGAAGCAGCATGCGTTAACGCACATTCCACCACAGCCCTGGTGTGAGTTCTGCACTCGAGGACATGGAGTTGAGGTTGCTCACAAGAGACGCACCCTTGAGCAGAAGCTGTCGGACAACCACTTCGAGCTCGACTACAGCTTCCTGAAGACTGACACCTCATTGGCCGAGAGATTTGAGGAGTGCAGCGACACAGTTCTGTCCATTGTGGACACCGGCACAGGCATGGGCTTGGCATTCAGCGTCCCAGCGAAGAACCTTGGGATCCATATGTGGTGAAAGTCATCACCTCGTTCATTGCCCAGCTCGGCTATGACACTGTGAAGCTGAGGTCTGACAATGAGCCAGCGAAGGTGAAGGGCCAGATTGCTGAGGCTCTTCGAAAGGGAGAAGCTCCAGGAGCTGCTGCACTCAAGATCCTCTTTGAGGAGGTCCCACGTTATAGCTCACAGAGCCTGGGAACGATGGGAGCATATCAGAAGCTGCTGAGAGGTGATGTGCTCACCTTGCGCTATGCCGTGGAAGCGAAGTATACGGCATCGCTATGCAGCGAAAGCCCACCAGCGCACAGCCTATACCAGGATGCCTTCTACTGCCAGTACACCTCACCTCTCATCCCATTTGGGGAAACGGTTCTAAGGCCAGGAGGGCGCGTGGGAGAAACCTGATGACAAAAGGCGAAACGGCGTGGGTCAAGGGCATCTACCTTGGAAGATGGACTGTGAGGCGCTTTGCCGATCCTGCCGTGAACTGATGGAGGCCATGATTGGTGTCCCCTGGCATCAGGGAACCACCATTGGCCGGAGAGGAAGATTGAGACAGTGAGAAGCCTGCCAGCATTGAGCCCTCAAAAGAGGCGATGGAGACCGAAGAGGTCATTCACAAGTCCTCCATGGAGATCAAAGTTTCTGCATGAGGTGCATGGCCTGGTGGTGGTGATGAAAATCCAGAGAAGCGTGCGCGCGTGGGCGGAGTGTATGTGGGAGCACTGTACTCGCCAACCGAAGATGTGATCGTCTACGAGGAGGACATTGAGATGGCAGCGGCTGATTTAGATGATGAAGAGAGCAAACCCTTGACTGCAGAAGAACGTGCGCAAGGCAGAGAGGTAGAGTACAGCAAGATGGACAAGTACAAGTACGACGCCTATGAACCCGTGCCCTTCGAGCCAGGCATGAAGGTGCTCGATGCCGCCTGGGTGGAAGTGAGGAAGCCAGATGGAGCAGTTCGCTGCCGGTACTGCGTCCGGAAGTTCAAGAGAGGAGATCCCAGGACTGATCGCAGTGTCGAGGTTGGTGGACGTGATCGGCATCAACACTCTTGTGGGACACTCTTGTAGGAAACTCTTGTGGGTCACTCTTGTAGGACACTCTTGTGGAACACTCTTACAGGACACTCTTGTGGGACACTCTTGTGGGACACTCTTGTAGGACACTCTTGTGGGACACTCTTGTAGGACACTCTTGTGGGTCACTCTTGTAGGAAGCTCTTGCGGGGCACTGCTTTGGGACACTCTTGTAGGACACTCTTGCGGGACACTCTTGTAGCACACTCCTTGTGGGACAGTCTTATGGGACACTCTTGTCGGAAATTCTTGTAAGAAACTCTTGGGAGACACTCTTGTAGGGCACTCTTGTGGGCCACTCTTACAGGACACTCTTGTAGGACACTCTTATAGGACACTCTTGTGGGTCACTCTTATGGGACACTCTCTTGTGAGACACTCTTGTAGGACACTCTTGTGGGTCACTCTTACACGACACTCTTGTAGGACACTCCTTGTGGGACACTCTTATGGGACACTCTTGTGGGACACTCTTGTAGGACATTCTTGTGGGACACTCTTGTGGGACACTCTTGTGGGACACTCTTGTAGGACATTCTTGTGGGACACTCTTGTGGGACACTCTTGTGGGACACTCTTGTAGGACACTCTTGTGGGATACTCTTGTATAGGGCACTCTTGGGGGACACTCTTGTGGGACACTCTTGTAGGAAGCTCTTAGATGGGCTATGCATTCCTGACAGCAGATGCTGAGAACGCCTTCTGGCAAGTGCCCAAACAGCTCGAGGCCGGTGTGGAGCTTCCTGACAAGGTCGTTTGGAAGTTGAATAAAGAATGGTATGGCCGCAGAATCGCGGGCCAGTGCTTTGTGGAGTGGGCAGCAGGACATTTGAAAGATTTGGGATTCAGCCGAAACCCAGCTGCACCATGGTTGTTCCATGACTCCACCAACGGCATCTTGATGGAAGCGCACATGGACGACTTCTTCGCCGCCGGACCATTGAGGTCATTGCAGATGCTGGAGAAAGGGCTGCGCCTGAGAATCAAGATGAAAAGTCAGATTCATCCCCTGGTCGAGGGAGAGAAGTTCACGCGCCTGAAGCGCACCCGTGAGATCTTCAGTGACGGCATCTTCATTACGCCCAGATCCAAGTACGTCGCAGACCTGCTGAAGATGTTGAAGCTTGAGCGTTGCAGCCCGGCACCTACGCCCTACATCCATAGTGATGTGAAGGAAGGAGAGAAGCTCAGCGATGCAAGCGCAAAGTTGTTCAGGGCCGGAGTTGGCATCGCCCTGTACCTGAGCTATGACCACACGGACATCCAGTTTGCCATCCGGGCGCTCGCCAAGGACATGAAGGAGCCGAACGATGGCAGCGTGGCAAAACTACATCGACTTGCTCGATACCTACAAGGCACCAAGGAGTATGGCATTTGGCTTGAGCGAAGGGGGGATCACCACTTTGGAGGTCCACTCCGATACAGACTGGGACTGGGCCAACGCAATGTTCAGCGTGGGAGGATGATTGCTCTACAGCTATGCAAGGAGCTTGCAGATGTTGTGCCTGTCTTCCGGTGAAGCGGAGTTCAATGCTGGTGCGGCAGCTTGCGCTGAGGGATTGTTCCTGAAAGAGATCCTCACCTTTGCAGGGCACCCAGTGACCATGGAGGTCTATTTGGACTCTAGTGCAGCTCGTGGAGTTTTCCAACGGCAAGGGGTTGGCAGGATTCGCCACCTTGAGGTGAAGAGCTTGTGGGCCCAAAAGGCCCTGCAGAGGAAGTTGTTTTCGCTCCATGCCGTGCCCAGCAACGACAACACGGCTGACTTTGGCACCAAGGCATTGACCATCCAGCGCTTTCACAAGCTGCGAGCAATGCTGAAGATTGGCACCATGGACGAGGTGAACTACAAGGAGAAACCGATGGTGAACGCTGTGAGCATCGCCAACCAGTTCAACAAGAAGGCGGTGATTGCAGCCCTGGTGATGATGCTGCAGGAGAAGAGCCCAATGAGATCGACACCAATGGCAGCATTGGCCAATGGATCTTCACCGATTTGGATGTGGCCCTGGGATGCCTGCTTCTGGTTCAGGCATTGATGCTGATGGCATTTTTCTGGCTGGTCGGGAAGATCAATGGGGGCTTGAGCCTGCGACTTGACAAGGTCAAGGAAGCGAAGGATCAGGCGATCCAAGGAGTTCATCTCCGACAAGTGGAACAAGTAGAAGATTGGAAGGCCAAGAGGTTTTTCATGTGGACCTGACATGTCCACGCCTCACGCAGCGGACCCGCCAATTTGAGGTCCTGAGGCTTTGCAAGGCATGCCCAAAAGATGGGCCTGTATAGAGGAGGCTTGTGGAACTCGCCAAAAGTTGGCTAGCGTCAAGGGGGGTGCAAGCCATTACATACATTTGGTACACGTACATACCATAGCCCTCTTTGGCTTAGGAAAAGGAGCTGCCATTCTTGCTATGCACCAAAAATGCGAGGACATGGGAAAGGCGTGTTTGTTGTGGTTTGTTTAATTGCAAATCCATTTTGGCGTTGTTGTTGCTGCTTTCCATTTAAAAACTGCGCCACCGGCGAATAGTTCATACTGAGTCATACTATGGTTGCCAAATGTTGTCCCAGTAATAAAGCAAAACAAAGTTTTGAGGGGCACCTTTTAAACAACTCAATGGATGAGGCATGTGCGATCAAGAATTGAAGTGGGGCCGCAGTAGCAACTTTGGCCCCATCATGTGGTCAAGTTGCTGAAGGATTGGACAACTGGATGTTGTTTTAATGATGTGCATGAAAAGGCAATGATGTTGACGCCACACACGAAAAGGCATTGACCAGCTTGACTTTGCTTCCAAAGTGAGTGAACCCCCGATGTGTTTTGGATCAAGAGACTTGCTCCACCTCTGTCAACATGCAAGATGAGACAAACTTGCAAAAAAAAATCCCAATATGGGGGAGAATCATATGCAAATATTTAGGACAATTCTGGGTTGTTGGCAGGCTTTGTCGGAAATGTTCCTTCCAATGGCCGTGCCACATGCGGTTGCAAGATGGCATTCAGCGGGAGGAGTTGCAGTAAAATACGGAACTGTGTAAGGTGTGTAAAGTGAGCACAGGAATGGCCCAATGCACTTTTTAATTTTACATTCAAGTTTCAAACCTGAGGCTGATCCAAAACTTACTCCGGCGCGTGCGCGCGCTGGGAGCTTGGGCTGTTTGTGCGTGCCAATATGAAGATTGACAAAACCTGTGTATGTTCTTGCAACCACCAGGACTTGAAACAGTTTTGCGGTGTTGAAGACATACGAATCGAGGCAATGATGGCAGATCTCCTTGCTGGTTTTAGCTCCAAGAGCGCACCTGGCTTTGTTAGGAATAGAGTGTCATTTTTTGATAGTTGAGTGAGAGGCGATGAACACATATAGTCTGCAAAAGTTGTTGATGGGATGTTTGGGCACTGCTTGGCAGGCTTCCAGCGAAAGTTGGATGTCCTGATCAGCGCACAGGTTGGACAGATCCCTCAGGTGCTGCATTTGATATGTCCAATGAAACAGTGTGCGCTCTATGGATCAGAATCGGCAAAACTGTTTTTGCTTTCTGTCTTGTTTCTCAGGACTCCTGGTTTGTAAAAACCACTTTCTTTGGCACTGTACCTCAGGATCTTCTGCATGTGCCAGGGCGAGTTGAACTCGCTCTATCAGTACAGCGTGAGGCTTGCTGGGAGGACCACTTTGATTTCTGCAATGGGCATTGAATACCTGCGATAGTGTGCATATGCAATGGTGGTCTCGGCCTTTTGGGTTCCTCACTTTGGCTTCCCACCCAGAGATTGTAAACACCAACTGGTCCAAGGATTTGCAGAGAGAGCAGTTTGGCTTGAGATCCTGCATCCTCCTAGCTGCTGAAGACGGAGAGGTTTGAGCCCCATTCAGGTGCTGCCTCGCTATGGCTTTGATGGCAGTGAACATGGAGTTGCGCAGATGCTTGAGGCGCAGTGGCTTTGAATGTTGTCAATTGTAGATTTGCTTTCAGTCTAAACTCGCTTTACGTATTTTGGTGATGAGATGATGAGGCCATCCAACCACTGCTTGCCAAAGATAGTCGCCTTGTAGAACAGTCAGAGGCAAGACGATCACTCCGCATGAATGATTTGTGAGAGTTCTGTTCCTTTTTTCTTTACGACTTCCCCAAGGCTCTTAATATGTTGCGCACACTCTTAAGTTGAAGAGAGTTTTTGTTGTATGGGTCTACATGAGTTGAGCCTGTGAATGCTGCCCTACTTCAATCTGAGGCGATCCGACAAAAACTGCGGATAGAGTTGAAGGTGCGCTGGGCCAATAAAATGAAGGCGGTTTGTGCAGCCCATCCGGTGTAGAATTCCTTTTGTAGCGCGACCAGGACCGCCAGGCTGAGGACAGTGAGGCAGGTACCCAAACGATTGAAAAAGCAGAGCTTTGCCGGGCTTTGCTGCCCAGGCCAATTTACATCTAACCAAAGAGAAGGCAGGGCAGGGCGCGCCTTTGTACGACTTTCGTGGCAGTGCTTGAGATATCCGTCGGTCTTGTTGAATGGGTCAAGCCGTGGTCTCAAGGCTGTAGCTTTGCAGAACGTTCGGGATCTCAGCGGTTCTCCGGAGGGCTTGTGATCTATTGAACCTCGCAATGCCCGACTCAAGGATTTGCTTAGTCAGTTCCGGAGTCCTGACATTCGAACGCAGCTATGCAAATTGAGGACATGCAGCAAGATGGATGCTTCCACTCTCATGCAACTGAACATGCTGAACATGTTTTGGACAGTTTACACGATGTGGTGACAATTCCAGGACAGACGATGACGAGATGCGTGAGCAGTGCTGAGCTGAGAAAGCATTGATCGAGTTGGCTCTTGTGTTGAGCAGATGCCTTGTGGATTCCTTTGGTCACTGACCGAGGCTCATCAAAGAGGTGAAGTTGGGGCTGTTGCCTCGGTGCCCCAGACCGGGAGCTTGTTGCATGTATAGCACTTGCGTTTAAGAGGTATGGATTTCCTGCAAGTGAGATTGGTTTGGAGACCATGACCGAGGCTAGGTTGTTTATGTATTACAGATTTGCATTGTGTTCAGAAGTGCTTTGAATCTCGGTGCTTTCATTGCTTCCTGATGCCAAAACTTATTGTTGTGAGGCCTTAAAAGAGTGGCAGTGGGATGACGAGATGCGAAGTTTGAGCAAGACCATCGAGGCCAGAAGGGTTCATTTCACTTCTAGGCCTTAAGTGTTAGCAAACCCTTAAAAAGTACGCATAATATCATATCACGCAATTTTTGTGTTCAATCATACAATGTGTTGACACTTCTGGACATTGCTTAAACACCCGCTTAAACACTAAGCTTGCCAAGCTCTTGTGAAGGATGACTTGCGCCAGACTGACTTCCACAGACAGGAGAGAAAAGACGGGGCAACATTTGAGACCAACTAGTAACAAGGGCATCGCTACTAGTAACAAGGGCATTACTACTAGTCGCTAGAAGCTACTAGTAACCATTGCATCGACGGCATCGTTGGAAACTTGCATCCTGAAAGTACACAGGACACAGCCAGCACTGTAGACTCCGAGAGCGGAGCAGGCCTCACCAGACTTTTCTCTTGCATTTGGAAAAGCAGATTGAGTTGAAGGTTCGGGCAATGAGAGCTACACCAGCAAGGTAGGCAGAGCCGAGCTCTTGATGGCAGCCTTTAATGTCATAATATTCTAAGTGTGTTAGATTTCATCACCTCGTCCAGGAGGAGATTTTGCAACTGCTCCGAGAACTTCTTGCAGGTAACCAACATGCTTGGCAGAAAAAGCCGAATCGATTTTGACCAAGCAAGATGTGCGCCAGGCTTCGACTCTCCAGGCTTTCAATGGAAACTGTCTCTTTTGAAGGCTCAGTGAGGGTGGTACAGCGTTGGGAATCTGCAACTGAAGCTTTGCACGGCAGGGTCGAGGACAAGATCCTCTTGATGGAATTGAGGACTATTCCCTTTGGCCGTAACCAATGTCAGTGCTACACACGTGATGTCGGTAATGCAATCTATGTCTTTATGCGATACTTGCATTTTGTTTTATATTGTGTGTTAATAAGCATCAGCATCATCATCATCATCATAATCCTGATGTGCGCTTATCAGGGAACTGAATCTTCTTCGGCCAACTGCAAATGGAGAAAGGCCAAACACATATAAAGCGAGCAACACGAAAGGTACCTGACCTTTCTTTGTCAGGAGGTTTGTTGACCCTTTGTAGGAATAGGCTTTGAGAAATGAAAGGTTTTCAAAGAATCATAATCATCCAAGAAAGGAATTTGCAACACCACATTCTGCTAGCTTCGCTACTTCAATCTGCAAGATCATTAGTTGGCAAAAACTCACAGGCCACAAGCCACGGCCAAGCAGAAAGGGTTCAACTATATATGCGGTTGGCGCATGGTGAAGTTTGGGGTTGCAGATTGTCACCAGCTAAGCTGTTGAGCAAATGCACACATGCTTCTCCTCCGAGTACATTTGATGCCATCCAGTGATTTATGAGCTCTTGTGGTCTATTTCCTTCCTTACTCTACCGAATTGCAAGTGCCACCTTGTTGTGCGACAATGGCTTTAGACTGCTGGGCCATGGTGACCTTTCTGTTTGTTTTCCAGGTGACTGCAGCAGATTTGCCAGTCCCAACACCCGCTCAGGTGCGTTACCAGAGCACAGATTTTGTTGCGTTGATACACTTCAATATGGGTACCTTTGCTCATAATGGAGATCCTTGCTGCGACAAGAGCAATTGGGATGTAGTGGCCCCGTATGCAACTGGCAAGACCAGTGACCCAGCAACATTTGATCCAGAGAAGTTAAACACCACGCAGTGGATGGAGAGTGTGGCTGCTTTGGGTGCAAACATTGCAGTGCTGACGGCTAAGCACGGATGTGGCTTTGCTTTGTGGCCGACAAATTCCACCTTTCCAGATGGCAGCCCCTATGGCTATAACGTTGGTATGCCTGGTGCTGCTGTTCAAAAAGATGTATTACGAAGTTTTGTTGATTCTGCAAAAAACGCTGGTATCGGCTACGGATTCTACTACTCAATTATGAAGAACTTTTACCTTTGTCACAACTTTTTTGGGAATAATTCTTGCAAGCAGGAAGTTCTTCCCAGGCAAAGAAATGTGACAAATGACGACTACCTGCATGTGGCCAGACAGCAGGTGACAGAGCTTTGGACACAATATGGAAATCTTACACGGATCTGGGTTGACAGTGGGCTAGGTGGCTTGGGCAATCTGATGGGTGAACTGCAGCCTCAAGCTGCAGGAACACCCCAAAACCCTATCAATTGGTGTGGCACGGAGTCTGGACATCCCTCTCGTGATGTAGGGCCTGAAGATGTGTGGAACATGGGTCCTGGCTACTTTGGCGACCCAAACGCAAGTACCTGGACCCCCAAGTTTTGTGATCCACAACTTTTCCGAGAGCACATTTGGTTCTGGGAGCCCAACTTAGAGGTTCGGAACTTGTCAGAGATGATCCCAATTTATCATGATATTGTGGGAAGGGGTATGGTTATGGAATTGGCATTCTCAATTGATCGTGATGGGTTGGTGGAAGAAAGCCATGCTTTGGTGTATCGTCAGTTGGGAAATTGGGTGAGGAACTGCTATGGCTCACCTTTGGCAGTGACTTCTGGCACAGGTATTGTCTTCACACTGACCTTACAAGCTGGCCAAATCTTTGATCGAATTCAGATCCAGGAAAACATCGTGCTTGGACAGCGGGTGAGGAATTACACCCTGGAGCAGAGTCTGGAAAATGGTTGGAAGCCACTGGTGACAGCTAGTGCCATCGGCAGGAAGCGGATTCACGTCCTTGAGAGTGTGATTGAGGTGTTGGGAGAAACACATCTCCGACTTCGGATTGAACATGCCACTCAGTCACCGCAAATCAGTCAGTTTGCTGTGTTCTCACCGTGCAAGAAAGCAGCAGAACTACAGGACTTGAAAGTCTTCATTTAGCTTGAGCAAAGAGATGCATTTCTGGGAACCCTTGCGTTTTTTGCCCGGAAAGATTCCGAGACTTTGGCCGCAAAGCAGTTCACCTGCGAAGTGCGAGTTCTCAGATTCAGCAAACTTTTCCGAACGCAGGAGCTGGCTTTCAGGGTGCAGAAGAAGGTGCTACCAAAGTATGGCTTCCAAGGCCGCAAACGCAGAAACGGTCCAACTCTGAACCGAACACACACACACACACAAGCTGCCTTTTCTTTTGTCTCACCTTTCAGGTTCTCGAAGAGGAGTTGCAGAGATGATTCATGAGTGCAACAGGCCGAGAACGTTAGAACCATCCTTTCTGTGAGTGTTCGATTTGTACAGCTTCATGTGAAATTGGACAGGTATGCGAAGGACCAAGCCATATTGGACCTTCAGACTGAAATCAATGCAAAGCTTGGCATGGACCGGAACGCGTGGTGGACATGTCATCATAATCTGCTGGTGTAGATGTTGAAAGCCACGACTATGTTTTTTCTGGTGAGGATGCTAAAGGGCAGTGGTTTTGGTGCTGGAAAGCGTGAGGACATGAGTGGTCGTTGAAAGATGTCAAAGGCGCCATGTCATTTTGTTTGTCATTGGACTTTGTCAGTGACCTTGTCGAGGACCTTGTCCTCTTTTCTTGGTGCTTTGGCGCCCATTTGACCAGGCAGGTGACACGACACAAAGATGGGAAATTGCACAGCTTTGAATGGTATAAAGCCAAGTCCCTTTTGTTGTGTGCAGGTGACGTGCCAAGATCGCAGAATTGCATGCTCGGGCCACTGGGCGAGTGGTCAAATTCAGAAGCGTTTAGCCATTGCTTGTGAGAAACTGACTGTGTCGTTGGAGCCCTTCAGCATGTGAACCTGGGCCACCTAGTAGTTTCTCGCTACTAGCATCTTCTTGTTACTAGTAGCGATGGCCTCCAACCTAATAGCGATGGCCTCCACCCAATAGCGTCCTCGCTACTAGAGCATGTGAAGCTGGGCCACTAGAGCCCACACAATATGTTGGTGCACCTTGATTCCAGCTGAATGGTGGACTGGAATTGAGTTGCATTACCAGAAAACTGCAGCAAGTCTCGATAATGTTAGTGAAATGAATGATATGTTTTATGTCAATACTTATATGCTTTGTTAAATAAACATGAATAAACCTAATCAACCCTTTCTATAGCAGTGGCGACATGTAGCAAACCGTCGTGCCTGGTTCTGCATGTAGCAGCGCCTGTGCACCTTTTGAGGGTTTCCAATGCTATGCTGTGCTCCACTTGTGGCATGTTGCTCCCACCTAACCACTCTCACTATTCCCTGATGCCTGTCGTGTGCCACATCTGGAGTTTGGAGCTGTCTCACTGGACAAAGCACATGCAGTGTTTTCCAGGCTATGTTCCAGTCAAACACTTAAAACGCATGACGCATGACGCATACCGTTTGACATGACATGAACTTTTCTACCAAAAGGGTGGCTTGCTTCTTGGACTGGACAGAGGAGCCCTTTTTTTGAGCGCAAGTCCCAAGAACTTGGAGCTAGGACAGCTAGGATGTCCTTGGTGACTGTGAAATTTGGAGATGCGAATCCCAATTCCAGCTTTTGCTGCTGCTGCAGCGCCCATCTCCTCGTAGCGCTCCTGTGCTCATGGGATGTGCGTCTCTTCGGCAGGGACCCCAGCGGACCTATGGCCTCATCCTGTTGCCTTGGCAATTGTTCAAGTTCAGATTATTCAGACAGATATTCATGGAAGACACTCACAATATCTTACAATTTTGTTTATACAGCCTGTTCAGATAGCAACCTCTGATTGCCATCACCTAAGGCCTATGCACTTTCCAGGAGGTAATCCTGGCAGGGATGAGAGCAAGGAATCCCTCCCACTCCGGCCTTAGCCGGACACTTCCTCTGACCTTTGAAACGCAGAAATGATACCGACACCTGGGTGAAAGAAGACTTGGAAGAGCAAACAACATACTAGAATTGCGTATGAATTTCACCAAGAAAACTTGTCAGACGAATTCCTGGCATGCATCGAGTCAAACCCAGGGAGTGGCCAGGAGATGCCACATGAGTCGGCATGAAGTGTCGACCTGGGGGTTGTTGAGACATGAAATCGTTTCAGTGAGCAACCCACCACATCGGCATTTAGAACGCGTCTTGGCTGTTTTCACTTGGAAGACTGTCTTGGTCCTCCAAAGACGTAGAAAACTGGCTGTTTTGCAGCTGCTTGTAGAGGTTTCACCAACTGTTGCTGTCCAGTTCGAACAGCATTCCAGCACTTGAAGCTTTGAAGACATTCTTTAGAGCCTTTCGAGTGTGCTGATGATGGAGCAAGAGGGCTTTCTGCCCGAGCCCATTTGCCTGCAAGATCTGAACAAAGGTAGATTTTACTTGTAGTGAACATGTCAAAGACTCGTTGGCCCAACAACACTGAAGGATGATAGCAACTGTTTTGTTCTTGAATTTCAATTGCTTTGACGACAAAAGATCTTGCAAGGGGCCAGGCACGCTGTGTACAGGTGCAAATGCCCAAGCATATTGACCTTGGATAACAGCACTTGAACAGCAAAAGAAAATGGAGCTACTACGAAAGATAGCGAAATTGGATTGGTTGCTGTGGTGAGTTTGTTGAGCGTTGATCTCTGACTCCAATTATTATTGTCCTGGTTTAGTTTTGCTTACGTTGGCACGTTGGAAACACAGGGATGGCTCTGAAAAAGCTTGCCCAGTAGCTGTAAAGAGAGAGTCCTACTGCAGAAACACAACCATCAAGCTTCCTACTACTGCTTCAAGAGTGTTTAGCTGCAAGTTATCATGTGATGTCATGATGTCGGCACTTTGTGTAGAGTGATCTCCAGTGAGCCACAGCTGGCCAGCAATGTCGTTGGATTGCGGTACATGTTTTCATGCGTTCATGTACCGTATCCTGATTGGTGCACAGAAAGCGGGCACTCCGAGAGATGATGGACCCTATGGTGCGACATGGAAGATATGAGTGCAGCTTGGCCAAAACACCAAAGAGGCAGCACAATTGAGTGTACCAATTGAGCCGAGAACCTGTGACATGTCACTCAAACCATCCAAGGCATCCATCATTGCAATTTGCGAAGAATTGGCGGATGCCAAGGGTCAAATTCCCATTTCACGCTTGGCGGATGCCATGCGTTTGCTCGGCATGAACCCCACAGACCAAGATGCTGCTCGTCCTGTATTCCCTTGAACAGAATCGATGCAAAGAGTAAGCCCATCCATAGCGTTTGTCCTGTCTTGTGATCGTTTTTTTGGTTGCTTTGCCTCAATGTCAACCACAATTACCCGAAGTTGATGGCTCGTACAAGCTCCTTTATTGTTCGAAGTTTGTATTTTCGAAACTTTGTCAGATAGATACATACAAATACAAAGGTTGGAGTTCTGATTTACTCCAGTGCCAAGGTGGGAACTCTTCAGCGCAGAGCGCTCAGTGTACAGAGCATGCAGGACGACAATGAGGATGGACAGCTCGCATTGGACAGCTCGCAGTTTGGACGGCTCATGGAGGCTGAGCGTTTCTTTTTTGTATTGACCCTGCTTGTGTTGATCCTTTGATCCTTGATCAGTGTTCCAAGATTGGGACACAGTATGTCCACATTGAAACCCTCCGGAGCAAGTACCCCCTGATAGGATGCGCTGGCTCAATGGTTAGCTGCTGATCAAGCACAGCAATTGCTGCACGATTTCCAGGCCAAGTCTCCACATTCTTCATGCATGGTGCCTGTCAAGGAAGATTCTTCCTGTTACTGAGGTCTTTGACAAGGACCGCACTGGCAGGATGTCGACCCAAAAGCTTGTGGAGATTATGAAGATATCAGGAGCCCATCAAGTCATGAGCAAACTTCGATAGACAAGCAGAAAAGGGGTCCAACTCCACTTTGAAAGGGCGAAGAAACGCGATTTGTGCCTATGACCGTCTCTGGCCATTTGGAGCTTATCATTCTGTTGCGACATGCGAAGACCCGGTTTTATCGAACTGCTTCAGGGAACAGCTTCACTGAACTGGAACTGGAGGACAGGGGAAAGCGAGCGAGTTTGATAGGTTCTCACAGATCTCTTCTTCAATCTTCGATAAGTTGGTTTTGAGGAAGGGACTACTTTTGTAGGGAGCTGTCGAATCATGTTCTGCTTTATGTTTGGACTTGTTGCAGATTCTGCTGGGGCCAAAAGAATGAGCCTCGCGAATCTGGTGGTTCTTGTGTTTGCTGCCACAACAATATGACATGTGACTCTGATGAGCTCAAACTGTCATAGTCATATTCTCTCACCAGTACAGTGAGCTCGACCAGATTTTTGACCACTAATCCTTGACAAATAGACTGGTGGACATGAATGTGGACATGAACGTGACTTTTGGAAAAAGTCTCGTACGCAGTCCGGAGACTTGACGCTGGACTTTTGAAGTTCGGCTAAAATGTGCCTCTTGAAGGCTTGACGTGGCACTTTTAAAAGAAGTCTCGTACGAAAATGTGTAATGCAAGAGTGCTACAAGAGTGTCCTGCAAGGGTGTCCCACAAAAGCTCTCTTGTCATTCAAGAGTGTATGACAAGAATGTCTTACAAGAGCTTCCCACAAGAGTGTCCCGCAAGAGTGTCCTACAAGAGTGTTGCACAAGAGTGTTACACAAGAGCAGCTGGCTGACCATAGAAAATGGGGCCTTTTGTTTGGCCGTTTGTTTTTGCTTACTTGTGTGCTTTCAGGTTTGTGGGTTCCAGCTTGTTTGATTAAAAGCCCAAGGTTGCGCCGATTGCAGCTTCGGCCCACCACGCAATGTGCGAACTTTTACTGTAGGATGATTGACATTTTGAACTCTGGTCTCACTTACTTTCGACCAGCATATGCTGCCTTCAGAAATTCTTGAGACTTCCTTGGGGGCTTTAGTTCCGTCCTCCACCGTGGTGAGGAGATGTTGCTCAATTCAGGTGTGGAAGGCCAACACAGAGCACCAACAGCGATCCCATGATTTTCGAAAGCTTTGCTCGTTGCCATGCGTCAGGTGGCACTGTGGATTACAAGGACGTGGTTTACAAGCACTTTTTTGGAGCTCGGAGTCGGTCCGCCTTAGGCAACTTGCTTAATTGTGTTAAATGTGATTCCACAGCGAGTCCCCCCAAAACACAGTAGCTTAGATGACTTGTGAGAGGGCCCAGAAGAACTTGTGTTTTGAGGGCTTTGAAAGGAACTACAAGGTTTGATCTGTGGACCTTGTGCAGGCGACTGGGGCCTCCAACACCGGAAGCCTGACCCTCTGCAGGAGGGACCCTCCGTTTACCTCATACTCACGTACTGGTTGTCAGTCTGTCCTTGAGCTTGTGATTTACACAAGGAAAACAATATTATGTACATGCATTTGGTACCTTGGAGACTTGAATCTCAGGGTTCTGCTGTTTAGCGATGCTGCAAGGATGCTTCGGCTTTGCGTGAAGTGGCCAAAATGAAAGCTGATCGAGGTGGCGAGGGAGAGAGCTTCCGTGTCTGGGAAAGGTTTTTATTCATGCGGCAGGAATATGTATGAAAGCGACTTTAACATTTTTAACACACACACAGCCCACCACTCCCTGAAGGTAAGCTCCAGGCCGGTTTGCCGGGGTGCGCAGTTCTTGAGTCACCAGAGTGTTTTGTGAAGGATGCTCTGGGTCTATACAGAGACGCCTTAGTTTGCAGCCCAGCGTGCAGCTCCAATCAACCGGGTCTGGCCATATCTAGCTCCGACGAGGCTCTCTTGGATGGTCAAGCAGCTCATTCCACAGCAGCGGCCACGCTTCATGACATGGCGCGGCTGAAGGACAATTGTGATCCGAACATGTACTGTATTGCTACAGTTCTTTTTTTGCCACTTCCTGTTTTGTTTTTGATGCCAGGAAATGCTTGGAGAAGAACAAGAAGCTCTTTCGCTCTATTTGCGTGCTTTGGAGATCCGCGAAAAGGCTGGGAAAAGGTGCTTAATGAAGAAAAATGAGAGATGACACTGAAAGCTAAGGGGCCCCCTTTAGAGGAGGGCTACCTCCTTTTCTCAACCCTTTTTATTCTTCAACCAAGTATAAAGTATAAAGTACAAAGGAACAAAAGGACACATATAGATTATATATATAGATATGTAATATCCTTTAATTCTTTGTAGGGTACTATTCTTTTTGATATCGAATCCTGCTTCAAAGTGCTCAACCACATTTGTGAGGTCTTGGGACCGAAGCATTTCTATGTGGCCACAACTTTGGATAGCATCGCAAATTTGCAAGACCGTATGGGTCAAGTGGCAGAAGCAACTTGGACTTCAAGAAGCAAACTGCAGAAGCAAGCTCTAATTTGAGCTGTAAAACATCCTTTTGGCGGTCAGCCATCTTTGTCTGTTCGTGACACTTTTCCTTTTCAGGCCTTGGATTTTGCCTGTCGCTCACTGTCAATCTGGGAGAGATTCTTTGGGCCTGAACATTCTCATGTGGCCAAGATCCTCTACAATCTCGCTGGGCGCAGAGATTTCGTGGGAGATCTTGCGGGATCTTTGGATTTCTACCAGCGAGCCTTGAGCATTTTCCAGCGAGTGAACGCGCGCAGTGAGGTGGCAGATGCGCTTGATGGCATTGCAGACTTGAAGTGGCGAAGCGGCGAAACAGATGAGGCTATTCTTCTCTACAACCGCAACTCCTTTGAGAATAGCCTTTGGTAGCCTTTGGTTCGTGTTTTTTCTACAAGACACTGTAGTAACAATTTGTGAGTTGCTTGTTCTCAAACAGCATCTCCGAGTTGGAATGTCAGGAGAGTTGAGCATCCGAGAAGAGCTGCTGGGCGTGGAGCACCCTGAGGTAGTGGAGCTCCGGGAATTCATCGCTTCTCTTCACCCCTGAGCAGCCGGAGTTCCCGGTCTCGTGGGATCCACGCAGCCGGTCTCGATGGATCGACGGTACATCCTCATGTTGGAAGAGAGGACCTCGATGGTGTCATCCTCTTTCTGAAAGTCTCCGCTTCCCAGAGGTGGGAGGATCTCGATGCACTGAAGAGGAGGCCCAGCCGAGGGCGGAATCGAACCTCTTTGGACACTTTCAACCGACCAAGGGGGAAAGATGCGGCATGCCATGTGTTCAGGTATAAATATATTCACACGACGATGCCTTCTACTTCAAGTGTTCCACGACGTAGAGACAAGTGTTTGCGATCATGCAACGTTGGAGTCACCTGTTCTGTACTGGTCTTCTTACCATTTTGGCTCGGGCTGGAAAGCTGAGTTGCACATAGCCGCTGGCAGCGAAGTTGCAGAGCAGATTTTGCGTCATACCTGTTGCTCCAGTTTCCCAGAGCTCATACATCTTCTTTCAAGTTGAGCTGTGGGATTTGGACAACCAGTCCTCTGACCTGAGGTTCCCGCCAGGATGACGGGCCCATCCGGCATGAATTTCAATCGCTGTGCACCGCCGAGACGGCGCAGCGCCGTGCCGCCGTCTCCAGGCACCGCCGCCGAGTCCAGGCCCAACAGGTCCAGGCCGCAGGCCCACGGCGGTTGGTGGGTACCGAAGAACACGTTATTCCAATGGTCGCGGCATATGTTTTGAGGTCATGTTGTGTTGTAGTGTTCAGTTTCTGCTTACTGGTTGAACCTGTGGATCGACTGTCAAGGCTAGAGGTTCCATTCTTCTGGCTGCCGCCCTGAGCCTTGTAGCGCTGAGGCTGTTGATGAGAGAAGAGTCTCGAGAATATGAAGAGAGTTCGTTGCAGAAAACCGCAGATGTCAAAAACCATCCACCAGTTCATAACGGTTCACCCAGCTTGCTTTGCTTGTTTGCTGCTTGTTTACTAAAGTTGCCAGATTCAGCCATGGCTGGTGGTCAAGCAGCTTCGTGAGTGCGTAGGGATCCTGTTCATCAGTTCAGAAGGATCTCTCGAGGCCAACAGACCTTTGTTTGCACTGTTAGGACAATTAGCCTGTTGGACCATTGGATGGTCAAATGATAGGTCTATATATATATATATAGACTGGACTTGAAGACTAGGCCTGGTAGTTCTTGGACTTCATAATATAACCTCACTTCTATCCACTGCCCAAAGCAGTGGAAAAGAATCGAGGAAGGCAGATTAAGTTGCTATATAGTGGAGTACCTACTGCGACGATGACTTTTGCTCTTGCTACTTGCAAGAATGTGTTCAAAGGAAGTGGAAGGTAGGCCTTAAGTTGACCTCGACAGCACTGAGGCCTGGGCGTTTGCCCACAGAGGCCGCTGCACTTAGCACTGCAGAGGACCAAAATCAGACTATTCTGCACTTGGAACTTGACGAACCTAGAAACAAAGGATCCCGGCTTCTGCAGGACCTGGACGGCTGGCAGATGATGCCCTTGGGTGTGCCCAAGGCATGTCACTCTTCTCGTATGATTTGGGTGATGGAGGGGTCCCTTAAACAGCGAATTGGAGAGCTCCGCAAGCAGCCATGATCTGGAGGATCTGGATGTTCAGACAAGATTGTACTTGTGGAATCTTGTGGACGTGCTCTCCAAAGCTCTTGCACTTGAGCCAACTAACTGCTGTACGCTGGCAAGAAGAATCACATGATTGGTTTTAAACATTTACATCATTCATCAAAGCAAATGAAGGCCAAAAGTAAGCAGGCCTTTCCCTAAGAAGAACTGCTTTTTCTGGCTTGGATGTGAGACTACAACCTGAAGAAAGCCAAACAAAAGCTAGGGACTCCTTGAAGCACTAGCATACTCATGCTTTAGAAGATTGTCACTTTTTCTGAGCTGATGAGATGGTGCCATGTAGCCTTCGGAAGCCTTTTCATCGTGGCAGCTGAGGCAATGTTGTTTGCAGTGAACAGTTTTTTTTCCATCCACTGTTGCAGAGAACGGGGTATGCCCAACGAACAGTTTCACGCCTTCTTGCCAAAGTCGTTCTTCGGGCGGTGAGCGTACGGGTCTCACGAGTTTCACGAGTCCGAGGAGCCGGTGCCATGCAACTTCAATCTCCTTGGTTCGCGTACGGACGAGTCTTCGCAGCAGGCGTCCGGGAGGCTTCAATTTGCCGATCTTTTGAGGGGATCTGTGCGTCGAACACACGAAGAGGCTCCGAAGAGGTCTGTGTTCGACCAGAAGTGGATACCACAGCGTCAACAGACCTCATGACATCTCACGACTCCAGATCAGCGGTCTTGACCTTGCTCGCCTGGCGGAATGGACTGACCAAGAGAAACCCAAATCTGGTCCATGGAAGGGTCATCGAAGGGCATTCAGCAACCCCCCAAAAAGAACAATGTCTGAACAAATGTTTTTATATAGCAAGAGTTGTTACCATGTTCATCTTCAAGATGGACCTGTGAGGCTCTGGAGATTTGCCTCTCGCAGATTCTTGAGGGCTTCGGATTGGGAGCGAAGCAGGAAGAGAATGGTCCAGAGCAGCAGACAGTCACCTGCGTAGGCGAAGCGGCGGACTGTTTTCGCTTTTGCATTTTACACTTTGATATTCAGAAGCCGATACGAAATTCACAGTGCCAGGCATCATGAGAGGCTTGGGCTCCCAAGTTGGCTATGGCAACAACACTCGCCGGGTCTGCTGGGAGTCGGCCAACATGAACCTCACCTCCCTGAGCTGTGAGGCTAGCTTTATTTGAGGGACCTCAAAACACTGTTGCGATTTTGTGCTTTAGCACTACCACCAGCAACGAAAGTCTCATAGCCCCATCAGAATCCTTTCAAATCACCTGAGCTGTGCAAGTACTATGCTATACCTGAGTGATCTTAACTGCACCATCCTACTCTCCCTTTGTTCCTTCCCGTTGGTGACTTCCGCAGAAACGCATTCAATGAATTCTTTCGTCTGAGATTATAGCGCATCGCACTGGGGGTTGGAATTCTGAGAGGCACTGAATCATGTCGCTTGGGAGCTGATGATTGCTGGACTTCGTCAATTAGCCCTATGCAGTGGAATCTTTGGGGAGATACCCGTTGACAGTGTGGAGGCACTTTGTTTCTTCAGTGTTTTTGGTAGGAGCGGAGCCTTTGAAGTTCTCTTGATTTCTGGATCAAGAGCACCTACTGACCATGTCGAGGCCATGGCTGACGAGCTGCATGACCTCTCTGGAAGATCCCTTTCTCGTGAATTGGAGATTCACCGGTCAACGCCAATAGGGCTGCTGATTGGTTGCTAGCCTCAATGACTGTGCCCAACGAGTGAGTCGTGTGTGGGATATGGTATTATGAATTCCGTAGTCCTAATGTTTGTTAGACTCACTGGCTTCGAGTTCTCAGAACTTACTCAAAGACCGACTCTATAACACACTGGCAGTTCTGCGCAAATCACACGAAGGGTCACGAAGGGTGCACCTAGCTGTGCTAAAGATCTAGCAATCGCATGAATAGCGTCAGCTTTCCTGCGTCTAGTTACTAGCAGCTACTTACTGTAAGCTGCTATACGGCCTACCCCCCCGGCTTAAAGAACACATATAATACAACAAACAAAGAAGACACACACTTCTTCATTTTTTGTGACATTTTTTGTCGAAGGTGACAAGCTCAAAGAACTGAGAAGTGACCTCCTGCAACCGCTTCAGCCTGAACAGCATAGCCGCCAGGCCAGGTTGCACAGCCGTGACAAACCTGGGTAGCCTTCGGCGCATTTGAAGCCTGCCACAGGTAGTGTCGCGATTGTTGGCCTTCAGCAGGAAAGCCTTTGAGCATACCAACTTCATGGCAGCTTGGTGAGATAAGAGCTGAGCCGGGTTGAGCTAGTCGAGCTCGAATTCTGTACCTGTCCAAGTCCCAAGGTCTGGCGAGATACGCATTTCGTTTGGTTGCAAGACTCCTTAGGAGAGGCCAAATCTGCCATTGGTGTGTGGCATTACAGTTTGTCCATGTTGAGGATATCAGGTGATTGCGTTGGGGGTTCTCGCCAGGGCCAAGTCGTCCATACCGCCTGGGGACCTGCAGATAGTTGGGATGATCTTGGAGCTCACGATGCGCTAGCAGTCCATGCCCTCGTTGGTGGGGCTCAGAGGCCTATGGAGTTTTGGATGGATAGTCGATAGTTCGGCATCACTTGCACGAATACCTTCAGCGGAAGCCCTGGCCTTTGGGGGATAAATCTGGATTGAATTGAATCACTAGTTTGGAGAACAGATTTGGGAGGTGAAACTTCGTGTAATGGATAACTTGCCTCCGAAGAGGAGGACTTAACAAGGGCAAATGCCAAAGGCCCACTGTACTAGTAGATCACCACGAAGTCTTGGGTGGAAGACGAAAACAGTGGATGTTGGGTGGTCATCAATCTGATCGCAGGGCCCCCATCTATGCCTTTGTCAATGAGGGCAGTCAACGACAGGAGTCACGACAGTTCGAGTTTCCAAGGTTTGCAGTTGATTTTGATTGATTAATGTTCTTCGTCGCAGATCACTTGTCGACTTCTAGGACATTTTCGGCAGCCTTTTGCCGCTTGAATGACTCTAATGAGCATCGATTGACTTGTTGATGTGCCGGATTTGCTGGGTTACTCATCCAACTTCGATTTTCCCTCAGGAAGAAGTTGCACGATCAACACGCTCGGCAACTAGCTGTGGTGGAGATAGGCGTTTTCAAAGGAAGCTTGCAAGAGCCTCAGTGCTTGCAGCTACCATCCTGATGTCCTTCCCATTACTTGAACATTAGGATTTGCCAAGTAAGTCACGCTATATAGTGTTTGCAAGTGCAATCAGGAGGTGCGAAAGCATGAAGAAAAGCTATTAGTGCATGAGGTCCAGGTCCATTCTGGAGAAGTACCCCTTTGTACAGCTGCTTGGCAGCTTGGCATCATGAACTACACACAGGTGGATTCAGAGAGTTACTGTCAAAGCCGGTTGTTTTAACTGAAAGTTTAACTTCAGCAAAGGTTTCGACTGTGACTCACATCTCAAAAAGCTAAGCAATTTGTCCAATGTTTAAGGCTTGTCCGTTGGCGTGCACCTCTTCACATCATCTGTGAGCGATCGAGGCGTAGATCCCTACATTGGCAAAGACGGAACCTTCCCTGGTGACTTCTCAGAGACCTTGGATCCAGACATGGCCTTGGCCCAGGCGCCCACAACGGCCATGACACAACATGTGGGATGCCGTACTCGCGCCATGACCTGTCTACAATTCATTTGTAGAGGTGTGACAGATCAAGGAACAGAACTTCAAACGTGTTGTCCACAGTATATATATACGTGTCGTACGTAAAAACGACCGATTAATGCAGTGCACCTTGGCTCACAGCTGATGGCCACCGTCGTTTAGACGGTGGAATCTTGTATGATCCTGGAGTTTGTTTGCAGCTGCGGGACCTGCCAAAACTTCATAAAGGTCTGCAGCATCCTCTTCAAGGAGGGTACTTCACCCCAGTGTCGCGAAGCCAGATAAAGAGCCTGAACCGTAGGCCAAAGGAGGAAAAAAGCGGAAAGGAGAGGGACGCCCTCCCTGCACTTTTGCCGCCAGCCAAAGCTGAAGGGCTGCTCAGAAGTACTGCGAAAGCTTTGGCCATGGCCCCCTCGATGGTGAGGAGTTGTTGGAGGCAGCGAAGCCTCAGGCAGCTCTCTACAGACTAGACATCTTGCAGTGGCGCCAAACATTTGGTAGCAGCGACACCCTGCACCGCCACCAACATCCAAGCTCCAAAACTTACATGACCACACATATCTCGCAGCTGCCACTGCCCAGGTTCCAAAGCGGATGCGCCGGCTCAGCAAAGCAAAAGGAGATTGTGGTGAATGTCACGGGCACCACGAGGATAGTCTTTGATAGAGAACAACCCTGGGCAGGATCCTGGGCAGGATCGACAGAGAGCGGCAAGACCATCAGCCTAAGAGCGGAGGTTGCGGCTTCACAGTCACAAGGTCGAGGGAAAGGAGACAGGAAGGTGTAGGAGCCACCGGGCAGAGAGAGAGGGCGAGAAGAGGCAAAAGGAAAGGACCCGACCACCAACGCAAGAAGCAGCCGATTGTGCGAGTGGAAGGAAATCAGCGGTTGATCACTTAGTCTTTCCACAAAAGCACGCAGCAGGTAGGAGAAGGGAATTGCCTTGGGCGTGGGAGCTTTTGACGGGCTGTGGGCTCTCAGAGAGGGAATAAAGCAAATTTCCGATTTTCGCTAGGCTACTCTCATCCGATTTTGTTTTCGGCGTATCCTGTGCACCCTGTGAAGGTCAAATCCTTACTTCCTTACTTTTTCCGACAAACTCTGTGGAGCGGATCAAGAGATGGGTGGAACAAATTGTATGATTTATATAACACACATTCATATATATATATATATGTATTTGTTTGGTTTCCACGTCAGCTGTGTATTTCTTGTGGCGCTGGCACCTGTGGCGTCGCCAGGCGCAGAGGCTCTACGAAACCTACGCAGATCGAGCCCAGTTGCTCCCAACGACATCGGATGTTGCAGCCAGGCGTGGCCCGGTGTTGCCACAGTGTTTGCAAGCCGTTAGCCGTGGGGTTTGCGTTTTGGTGCAGCTTTTGCATGGTGACCACTGGCTGTGAAGGAGCATTCCGGACAGTAGCCTCGATGTGCCTGGGCTAAAGACTCCGATCGAGTTGAGCATGTCAAAGCATCAACCATTTGGTCCTTTGTAGGTTTGGTCATGTATGTCATGTGGCTGAGGCGATTTTCGTGGATGGTTGCCACCTCTATGAGTGTGTGGATTCTGATCTGAGCATATGGTTGCCAAAGCTGGTCCCAGGCGACTTGATGCGAGCACTTACTCAACGGACTCAATGGACATTTCTCACTGTCACTAAGGCGGATTGGTAGCTGGTCATGACTTTTCACCACAGTGGCCAGGAGCATGTGAAGCTTGCATCCGATGAATGAAGCACAGTGCAACATTCTGCAACTCACGAAACACAAGAAATTTGAAGGAGTTGTGAGGGCTGTTCATGAACATCGGATTGATGGGCAGCTTGTGAACCTCGGAATGGACTGGACCTACTGGTGGTGCCTCAGCAAGAATTATGCAACGATGATTAGACTCGATTGGAGGCTGTCAAGGGTTGCGACAGGCCAAGTTGTGAGAAGAATTCATTTGCTCTTTGGGCAACTTGAAAGCTGAGGTACTTGACATGACACGAGGTTGCCTTGCGCTTGTGCTGAGCGCAAAAAGCCGCACGAGCGCTTCTGGAGTCTCCGGCAAAGCAATCAGCAGATATCAAGAAGTTTGCTGAAAATCTGTCTCTGCAGAGAATCTCAGTTCAGTGCAGGTAGCATACCGCATTCCGGGAGCACCCAATGCCGAATGGGCCGTGATCCAAGCTTTGCTAAATGACAACAGCGGTTGTGTGGCCGTGATCCATCCATGTTGGTCCCAGAGAGTTCAGGTTGACATCTACAACAGGCTGTATCGAGAGCGTCCTTCCGGCAAGTTTTGCGCTGCTGTTGGGACTTCTGGACGATTTGCAGATTGTGTAGAACAAGAAGGACTGTCACCATGACTTGGCAGGAATTATTTTTATTGGCAAAGAGATTGATGACAAGCTGGCAAATGAGGTCATTGGAGTTTTGCCATTTTCTTAGCAACTCGTTGGACAGGAACAAATTGTGCAGGGATAGGGACACTTGCCAGTGTCCGGTCAAACGAATCAGGTGCATACGTAGTATATATATTTATATATTATATATATACACTATATACTTACTTCTATTGCAGTCCAACCGTACTGCATGTTGCACCAAGGCTTTACTTGGATTCCGAGGTGCGTTGTGCACCCTGAATTGAGAGAAGGCCTTGTTATCTTGCACACAGGACAGCAACAAGCCGATTTACTTGTACATCAATAGTGCTGGTGGGTCTGTCATTTCTGGCCTCTCCATCTACGACACAATGCAGAAAAGGGCTTAGATACTGGATGCTATCAGTTGCTATCGCCACTGAGACTAATTCTGAACAGTACTGACCTAGGCACATCAAATCGCCTGTGATCACAATCAATGTTGGCTGGGGGTCCTTGGTTTTGAGTTTTGGAAACATGAAGACCTTGCATGACGGTTTTCAGCAATGTCTCGATGATTTAGGTCTTGCTGCCTCGATGGCTTCCTTTCTGTTGGCCGCTGGCGAAAAGGGCAAGCGTCACTTGGCCCATTCACGCCTGCGAGGGATGTATCGATTTTGGTGCGCTGACTTTGAAACCACTCACTGTTGAAGTGAACTCTGTTTGATATTGCTAGGAATGGAGGCGTAGCGTTCTTGCTAGGGACACAACCGCATTTTTCATGGTCCATGTATTTGGAGTTGTGTTTTGTTTGTAGTACAAAGTCCACATTACATGTTTCTTCCGCACTGTGAGAGAGTCAGGAATTGCGCTTCCACATAGTCGTGTTGAGAGCTTAGTTGTGTTGCGGTTTCACTGACAGAAGTTGCGCAGCAAGTCATGTGGTATGCGGCATGTCCGGCTAAGACCATGATCCACCAAGCCATGGGTGGAGCACAGGGTCAGGCAGAAGACATCAAGGTGGGCATACCAGGCTACCAAGATGCCATGCTCGCATAAGGGCCCAGGGCCAGTTTATCGCCCGACAATTTAAACCAGAGTATTGGCCAGAGGATGGATCAAACCAAAATCGTTTTGCCAGGTAGAAGCCCAACAGATTGTGCAAATCCATGAGAACATCGTGCGGTCGGCCACCTGAACCAGCATGATGCAAGTGGCATGAGACCAGTGAAATTCTGTTAAGCCCTCTTACCGAGGATGTATTCGAAAGTGCTTGGTGCTCAGATCCTTTCCATTTCAAATCTTACATATCCTGGCCGGAAGCAGCTGGACATGCATTCGCTTCAGAATTGAGTCCGTTCCCAGCTTGCTTGTGCAATCGCTAGCGATTGGATGATGAGGGACTTGTATTTGTGCGCTCAAAGCCGCTGCCGGCATACAGAAAGTCATTCCCAATCTAGAGTCAACGCAAAAGATCGGAGAAAAAATGACCATGGTAGCGACAGCGGCAGGAGGCTGGCCTTGATATTCTGAATTCTGAAGTCAAGGCTTCTCGTCACCCTACATTCCATGCATTCCCAGACACGTCATTCGGCAAGTCCCTTTCTTTGTTTGATAAGGTTGACAAGCACAGATCACTTGCTCAATGAAAAGCAAACAGTTAACCAAAATCATCGTGTGACCGTGAGTGCTTGCGCTAAACTCAAAAACACGATGTGCGAACTCAGCGACCCTTGTTACTAGTAGCTTCTTGTTACTAGTAGCGATGGCCTCCAACATAATAGCAATGGGCAATGTCTCCACCTAGTAGATCTAGCAGCTTCTGGCTAGCTTGCAGAAGGTTTTTAATCAGTGCAAGTCACAACCGTGGCAGCCTCGATGATCCGAATAATCCTGCACAGACTCCAAGACTGCAAAGACTCGTTCAGATTTTGAGGGGAATGGTGTAAGTGTAGAACTCAACGCGACTACGGTGTTCTATTCCTGCTACAATCAGGTAGCTTCGCTGGACATGGTGCCCGATTGCACATCCCCTGCTTTCCTGAAGGCAAACCTGGTATATTAGCTTTGCCGAGGTCGTGCTCACACATTCGGACACTTCAACCACCCAGATTTCCAGTATTCTAGTGGTTTTACGGTTTTACATCTCTTATGTTATACTTTGTTGGAGGTCAGGTCTGACAGGTCAGGTGGTGTGCCACCCATGGCCTGAGGACGGGCAAAGATGAAGCGACCATTTCGAAGGACCTAATGCGGGACAACTTCATGTCAGCAGAGGAGGTGCGGTTTTACTCCGTACGCACTCCGTATGTTTGTCAAAGGCTTCGCCGAACGCAGAGGGACCATTGGATCTTTGTTCTGTTCTGCCGTTCTGACCATGAAGGCCAAGGAGTACGGCCTGATTGATCAGGTGATGGGCTCTGACTCAGTGGTTGAACCCTGAACATGAGCTGGCAAGGCACCTTTGCAGATTATGCAGTGCACATTCCTGTTTTCTGAAAGGTAATTCAGCTCGCTGACACCTCTGACCTCAAGGCAGCATTTGCACAAGATTTTCTGAACGATACTATTACTTGTTCGCTTATATACATATACTCAGTACTGAAAGATCCTGATTGCAGTGCAATGGCTCACAGACTCACAGATGGATGGAGATGTTTGTCTTCAGGCTGTGGCTGACAAGGTCAGTTCCGAGGCACCGAAGGCAACGGAGCAGGGATGACTCGGAGAGACTCTTCTAACAAAAAATAAGAAGCACAAATGTGTTTTTTTGCCGTTGGTTGATAAGGCCCTCTTTCAAAGGGACCCTATTCAAGGGGCACAAACACCTTCTCATAGATATCTTCAAGCGCAGAAACCTCTTTGAGGGCATGATATGTGCTGTGTCAAAGTGCCTGGGTGCCTGGGATACCTTTACTTCTTGCACAGCCAGGAGTCTGCAGCACCGCCTTCGCCACCACCAGAGGTGCCCGAAAGGACACCTGATGGCGATGAGGACTGAGAGCAGGGTCCTTTCCTAGACAACCTAGATATCGGCACAATCGGCATGTTGATGTTGAGGACGATGTGAAGCCAGTCATGTGAGATGGCTCGGGGGTTTCACAAGCGTCTCTTTGGCAAGTGCAGCAGTGCATCCATCGGAAGCACAGCTGCAGATGTAGGCGTGAGGCAATGAGCAGAATCCTGAACCTACCACAGCAAGCACTCTCACAGATGTGGCAAACAATCGACGCACATTTTCAAGCCACGTGGCTTGGCTTTGAAGGACAAAGGCATAATGAAGACGCCTCCCTCAACAAGTTTGCTCCGCTCACGTACAAGTAGCCAGACATTCTTTGTGTAGTGCCATTAAGCCAACACATGTGAGACTTGAGCAGGAGTGTGCAAAACAAACACTTGAAACACTTCGTTGATTTGTGAGTTGGAATTTGCTGGTCTTGTAGCGATGTTAAAAAAAGACGTTGCCCTTTGAAGTGACTAGCTGCTTGCGTGGCCACATCTCAAGCTGCAGCTCGGCAATCCAGCTTGCAGTTGCACAGTGCATCACTTAGAGCAAGCCACGAGAAAGCATAATAGTTCTTAGTTTTTGCTGACCTCAGGTGCTAAGTCAGGCTCTCACCTTGGGCAGCGCCCAACTCTATGATTTGATGGCTGGCAGACTCTTGGTTTATTTGGTCATGTAGTGCTACTATGTAGTACTACTATTTGTCATAACCAATTTTTGAAATGATCAGATCTGGACAGTGGCGGCTAGTCTCTGTTGTGCTCGAGGACTTCTTCTCCAAGTCACGCTTCTATATTTTTCTCAGTGTGACTAGCTCAGCTCTTTGTCGGGGGTCTGCTGCTGTGCAACAATTTTTCTTGAGGTATTCAACTCAGCCAGTCGAGAATTCTGCTCTTTTGGTCGGTGGACGGCAGCAAAAGGACTCAGGACTTGCAGCTAGCACGATGTTTGGTGCCATTTACAAGTTCACTCGATCGATATTCTTGCAATACATAATTTAAGTCTCCAAGCGACAAATCAGACTTCCGAGAAAGGTCAATCTATGATTCTTGGTAGAGGTAAACTGACACTCCGTGTGAAAGGGCTTCTTAATAGAACTTCTTAGGCATGCTGCTTCTGCTCGGACAAGGCTATAAAGTATATGCATATCATATATGTATATATAAACGTACAATAGAAACTACAGATCTTGATTTTAAGGTTCTTGCTTGCTACCAAATGACAGTGTTCACTGAAGGACACGGTCCGTGCGAACATCCGTCATGTAACATGGTTGCAATGTGCTCCTTGTTTGTTTGCCCTTTGAATTGGGAGAGGAGCAAAGAGATTGATATCTCAAGATGTATCAGAAGAGTTCTGCTGCATCGTCCGGTTCAAACAGTAGAGTTTCCCATTTGAGGTTAAAGACCTTGGAATCGAACATGATGTTGTGACCTCAGCAGGGCCTGTTTGATTAATTCATACAGCAACACACGAAATAGCAAGGCCGCTAGTAGGGGCTCCTGGCCTTACTACTAGGAACAAGAAGCTACTAGGGGCTCCTGGCATCGCTACTAGGAGCAAGGACGCTAGGCTCAATCCAACTCAGAGACCTCGATTTTGTGATCTATGCTGAGGTGATGTTGGCGCACTATCGGGGTTCGCCAGCAGACTGGAATCAGAAATGGTGCCCGATTTGGACCGCTCAGCTTTGGACATTAATATCTAATGTGTCGAACAAGGTACAAGGAGCATGTGCTAAAGTCCATCTCTGGGATGGGCTACAAGTTTCACTTTCTACAGACACTTGGCAGCCTTTCTATGTTTTGGAACGCTGTCTTGATTCTGGTGTAAGATGAGAAGCACGTGTGCAATTGTTTGCAGAAACGCGGGCAAGCTCAAAGAGGAATCTGTCGTTAAACGCCAGGCAAACCATATTGAATAACATTGAAGCTAATAAGCCAAAGTTGTATGCTTCCGCGCCTTGTTCAAAAGTGATTTGTGCTCGGTTTCCGTGCTTGATGAGGAAAGCATACGAGGCAAGGCTATGAGCTAGAACACAGCTAAGACCGTGGTTCTCGTGGCCCTGTCCGTAAAAAGCCTTTTGCTTCCCAAGAGGATCTACTCATCTACTCTCCTGTAGGCTGGGGACTGGGAAAAGCGCTATGAGTTCGTTTGGGCCTTGGACAGTGACATCGACATCTCCAAGGCCCGGCACTCCAGAAATTGCAGAAACTGGAAACTCTACCCGCTACCAGGAGCAAGGACGCTATTAGGGGCTCCAGAGTTTCTGGAAACTCTACTCGGTCTGCCTGCGGACCCGGAGTCTCCCGGAGTCTGGCGTCGTGGAAGGCGGATGTGTCGAACTTTTTGGAGATGGCGCGGCACATGAATTCCGCCATTATCGGTCCCACCTTTGCCAGAGCCTGGATTTGCTTTTTGGTGTTTTTTAACTTCTATAGGAGCAGTCAGTACTTTCAGGATTGTTAGTCGGGGTTGGCACTTGCAGTAAGCTCCTCAAAGCCAAGGTCGAGAAGGAACACATGTCACTTGCAGCCATGCAGGACGCACTTGAAACGATACCCGATACCTGGAGCTTCTAAATCCGAATCAATTCACAATCAGCGGTCTCAAGTGAAAGGGACGACTTGCCAAATTTGAGACTCTGCTCGTGGTGTTGCATTTTCGAAGACGAGTCCTAGACATCGGTGGCCCAAAAACTCAAATAAGTAGGTGCCTACTGAATTACTGAAAGTAAGGGATGAAGTTCGCCACTAGCATCTACTAGCTACTTAAGCTACTACATGTGGACTCAGGATAGCGGTCGCACGAATGATTTCATTCCTAGATTTTTGGGGAATCCTAGCTCCACAGCCCACTCGCATCCGGCAAAAGGATAGTGCTAGGGTGATTCGCCGGGAAGGCAGGGTGACCGGACTGGAGGACTGGAGTATGTCTATTCCTTCGGCAGGACTGGATTTACGCTCAAGTGTTGTGAGGCCACTCTCCCACCAGGCATAGTCGGCATCATCACGGATACCAAGCCAGCGGTCCGTGGTCTCAGGATGATGTTTGCAGTTTGGGTGACTTTCCAGAAGTCGACTTATTCCCCAAACTTACTGTTGGGGTTCTCTATGAAGAAAGAAACTGGACACAGTCCTGAACCTGTCATGGTGTTGTCCTCCGGCCGCGCTGGCGAACCCTGTGTCCTTCTTTTTGTCCTGGTGTCCTCCTGGTGCCCAGTTGCAAAACCTGTGTCCTCCTCGTCCTGCTTGTCCACGTTGTTCCTTTTCTCACCGCCTCGTCCGGGCCTTGTCCCCTGCTTGGCCACGCCGCTCTTTCTTTCTCCAGCGCCTTGTCCGGGTATGTTTTTGCGTGGCTACGAATGCAACCGTGATGCAGCACTTGAAATGTGATATCGCCCTCAGAGTTTATCATGGCATACATCCGAAATCCCATCGTTTTGCACCTACTGTAGTGTTTTCAATCACTTATTGTTTACGTGCAGTTCCCAAACAGCTGGAGGCTATATATAGAGACGCATACTTGTACTTGCAGGCGTTCCCACCAACATTGGAATTCAAGGAGTTGACACCCCAAAATAATACTGACACTGTTTGGGGTCTATGCTGGTTTATATATTATATAACAGGAGACATTGTCGCTCGGAAGCAGCTTCTTGAATCGAGTCATTCAGTGTGTACTTGATGCTGGAGCTATCTCAGTCTTAGCAAACCAACTTGATGGAGTCTGAGATCCAGTTCCTTTCGCAGGTCCCAACAAGATCCAGGAGCCGGATCCAGGTGGATGCTCTACAGAATCAATATGACTCACAAAAGCAAAACTTGAAAGGCATATCATGTCACCTTTTTGAGCAGGTTGCGACTTTCGGCACACAGACTTTGTGGAGCTCACAGCGCCTCTCTTGAAGTCTTCTGTGCTTCTTGGCATCGTTTGGTGCTGCTTCCAAAGTGACTGTAAAGAAGCAGCAGATGGGACGCTAGACCAGAATGGCAACATCAAACAACCAGAATCGGCTTAGCAATGTTTTATGATGAGGGGATCAGTATCTTGCAATCACTCCTTGCAGTCACACTTCCAGGCTAAAGCAGATCCTGGTCGATTGCAAGCACTGCATTCATGAGAGGTCCGATTGGGGCCTTGACATGATGTGCAGCACTCAATAGAGGGAAACTTGGTATGTGAAGAGTTACATGTTACATTAATGTATACTGTAGTCGCCTCTTTTTTTTGGTGAGGTGGTGCAACTACGTCTCTGAGAGGTGTTCGCATTGCATGCGAGTGTGCTCCTACTTGATACCTACCTACAAACAACTTATACTTTCGATTGAATGAGTTTTCTAGCCCAAAAGTCTGGACTCGACCTGTCACGAAAGCATTGGTGTGTCCAGCCAGTTCAACACCGCAGGTTTGGACACGGGTGTGCCCTGGTCGATAAGACTCCAGTTGTCCACCTGGAACCTTGGAAGCGACGCCAGGAAGGTCTATCAATGAATCATTCAACCTATATACTAGCGATGGCCTCCAACCCAAGAGCGATGGCCTCCAACCTAAGAGCGTCCAATGACAAGTGCTCATAGACTCATAGACTCATAGAATTAAGGATTGGGCTTTGGCTCCAATCAGCCCAAGTCCTCAGCTCGCTTCACGATCAGCTCGCTTTAGCTCAGACTTGGTCGCCCAGTCTTGAGTCTTGAGCTGCGAGCTCCTTTCTTTGTGTCGATCCGTTCAGGTCCAGACTTCTATGCGGCCATGCATGCTGTACAGGTGACGGTTTGCTGTTTGAAGTCTGCAAGTCATGGTGTTGATCAGACAAATGAAAAGATACATTTTGTTATGAGTGGCGCGGACATGTGCCTGACAAGAGGCCCGTTACAAGAGATATTGGTCAGAGCATCGAGTTCTGGATTGCAAGCATCAGCAAGGAGGCGACAGAGCGATGTGTTTCCGTGTCTTTGGCGTCCAATGTGGCTGCATGGCAAGGCCTCGTGGAGAACATAGCAGAGGACCGACCGGCAGAGGAATTTGATCCAGAGCTTGTGCATTTGATGCCCGAAGGAAACAATAGCTCCTGCACCAGAGAAGCACAGGAAAAGGAAGCACAAGCAGGTGTCTCCAGCTGTCATTCTGATATATCAAGCTGGCTCATTATGTGCGTTATTCGCTGCAACTTTTCTTCCTTCGTTTGCTAGGCGATCAAGACACGAACGAATCGCGAGCTTGCAAAAGACGAGTACAAACCTTCTGAAGAGTCAGTTAGGATCTTGGAGTTTGGCTGATTTTGACAACATGGTATTTTGGAGTTCGCAGCTACTTTTTTGTGACATTTTTTGATCACCTCTCATTTATATTGTCAGACCATTTAGGACATTCACCGGTATTCACCGCTCCATCGCAGAAGGTTTCAAACTTCGCTATTCACATGCATAGAGCGGAGACTACAGCTGAACCAAGATCTTTGGGTTAGACATGACTAGATAACGCAAAATAAGGAGAACGAGGACGATGAGCCGGACGATGGTTTGGAGGCTGAGCAGGAAGCAGGGAACGAAGAGGAGGACATGTTTTGATGCAAGTCTTGTGCATTGTGGATTCAGAAAGAGTTGTACCAGAAGACCGCAACAAAAACAATAATTATGTTTGCCTTGAAGATCAGTTGTTTCATGATGCCTTGCCCATGTTGAGATAGACAAGAGGAGCATTGTCCAATGGGTGTGTGTTCAGGAGGAAACCGACCAGCAGCCCTCAAACGAACAGACAGACGATGCAGCAAATGCCGAGGAGGTTCGCCCAGTCAGTTGTATTGCTCAGCCCGTGCAGCGGCTTTGTATCGCTTATTGTGTTGCTGTGTCCACTGACATGAATTCAATCCGTGTCAGGATGGAACGGACGAGAATGGCGGGGTGCTCTGAGTTGCTGGATTCTGTAGATGTGAATGCATACACGCACACACACTCATGGATATGCGTACTGACTTGATTGCGGTACCACACGCCGGCCTAGGGTTCCAATTCCTAAGAATACCAGTAGGGAACCAGCGAAACCTGGGGGTCTTCAAACGGAGAGGTGGCCAAAAGGAAAAGGAAGGAACGGCGATCGCGAGTCGGACAGGTTGACGGCGGCTCGTGTACATCTGCGGAAAGTGAACTGAAGCTCTGAACAAAACCGTGTGGTTAGGTTCTTGGCTTAGCCTCGCGCCATGCAGAAAATTGGAAAATGGCAGGTACGCAGTTGGACGTCTCCAACTGTATCACAGGTGACTGATGAGTGTCTTTGTTAGCACCGGTCTCATCAGCACCCCCGGTGTAAAAGAAACAAATGCAAAAGCATCCCTATGACTCCAAGGGTGACACACACACGCCTCCCCGAAGGGAGGCAAGAACCTCTGCGCCTAGTAGTAAGGGCAGGAACCCCTAGAAGCACCAAAGTAGCGTCCTAGTAAGAAGGCCAGGAGCCCCTAGTAGCAACCCACGCTAAGGTCCTGACAGGAGGGAGGGGTAGGGAGAGAAGAGAAAAAGAAAGAGAAGAAAGGAAAGGGGGAGGAAGGTGTTCCCAGCTACGACACAAGCGTCCAGGGACACACCAAAGGAGGAGGGGGAAAAGGGTTCCCAGCTATGACGAAAGCATCCAGGGACACCCAAGGAAGAGGGAAAAGAGAGGGAAGAGAGAAGGAAAGAAAGAGAGAGGGAGAGAGAGGGAGAGGAGAGAAAGGAAGGTGTTCCCAGCTACGAACGATCGTCCAGGGACACACCAAGGAAAGAGAGGGGAGATCCTGAGTATTCCATTCAGGAAAACCCCAGAAAGCAAAGAAAGAAAGGGGAAGGGAAGGGGAAGGAGGGGGGGACTAAGCTCGCGACAGACTCCAATGAGCCTTGAACAGACTTTGGTCGCTGCGACCACGTACGGCTTGCCCGAAGGCTGCCACCTTTGACCGCTACGGTCACGTAAAGGCATGAGCCAACTTGGAATTCCAAAGATGAGACAAAATTGGAGTTCTTGTGGCATGAGCCAGCTACTGTCCGCTGTGGACACGTACATCTCCGGGCAGGGGAGATAACGACGTACACCCGTTCGACGGGTCCACGGGAGGCACTCTGCGGGCTCATCCCGGGTTGGCACGAAGCCAAACACACTCATGGATATGCGTACTGACTTGATTGCGGTGCCACACGCCGGCCTAGGGTTCCAATTCCTAAGAATACCAGTAGGGAA